ATTAGGAAGGTGACATGGCATTAAAAAGTTCACCCCAGCCCCTGGATAGATAGCTGATTGTAAGCAAGAGTGGAAGGCTAGGGAGGACACATAATAATTCAGGAGAGAGATGGTGATGGCTTGGACAAGGGTGGTACTAGTGGAGGGGTTGAGAGATGGTCAGATTATGGATGTTTTTTAACAGAGCTGAGGGGACTTGCTGGCGGATTGGATGTTGGATTGGGTTGGGTGTATGAAACAGAGAGGAATCAAGAATAACTGAGGTTCTTGGCTTTAGCAACTGGATAGATGACGGCAACTTTTATTGAAATGGGAAAGATGGGGGGAGGTAGGGAAGGAGCATAATACTTAAAGGTGGGGGTGAATGGAAAGACAACAATTATTTGTAAATGTTAAATTCTGTATCAGGTACAATATCGTCTAGCTAGTTCAGTGTGCAAATCTTGCAGCTCATGGAGAGGTGGGAGCTGGCCTCCATCCTTCCTTCCCTCCCCACCCTCCCTCACCTGGCATGAGCTGCACCTGGAGGCAGTTTTGGCCAAGACAACCACTCCTTTCCTTCAGCCAGGTGTGACCAGTTTGGGGAATCAGGGGGAAAGAAGCACATGATTACTGGAAGTAGGGGTGGGGTGGGGGGACTGGCTTCCTTTCTCTGTCACCAGCACTGCTCCCAGTCCTGACTCTCATTCATGAGATCAGCCGTCTGTGCAGAGAGGGTGAGTATGCTGATCCTGCCTGCCTTTTGTTTCCCTTTCATGCCAGCGTGGGACGACGGCAAAATCCGAGCCTTTGCCCCAGAGACAGGCCGACTGATGTATGCCATTAACAGTGCTCACAGGATCGGCGTGACGGCCATCGCTACCACCAGTGACTGTAAAAGGATCATCAGCGGTGGTGGGGAAGGGGAGGTATTGTTCTTGAAAGCAGAATTTTAAAAAAATAACCCTTGATTTAGAGCAACTGAATTATAGGAGGCTATCTGTTTGATTTAAAATTTTGAAGGGCAAAATTAAGATTTTTGATAAAACCCTAAAATACATCATCAATTAAAGTTCTCATATCATAAACATTTATGTAAGTACATTTGTCCACAGAAAGGACACGTAAGACACAGACACGAAAGTGTTCTACATGGAGCGGAGTTATGAATCCAAGTCAGTCTTTTGCCAGTTTTGCTAGACTTGTTATTTTTCTCCGAGGACCACAGTTGTATAAATTGTCTTTATCTTTTAAAGCAGATGGTATTTTTAGAATCAGTTCTTTAATACACCCAGATGTTTTGACCATTATTTTAAAATGATTACACTCAATTTTTTCTTTTTCATCATTTCGAGGAGCCTAAAACTCCTTTCACTCACGCGCTGATGTTGAAGTCTCCCCTCCCCCACAGCCTGGTTTTTCTTCTATTCCAAAGACTTCCTTTTCTCTACACAGGACATTTTCTAATTTTTTCTTTTTCATCATTTCGAGGAGCCTAAAACTCCTTTCACTCACGCGCTGATGTTGGAGTCTCCCCTCCCCCACAGCCTGGTTTTTCTTCTATTCCAAAGACTTCCTTTTCTCTACACAGGACATTTTCTTTTTTTTTCTTTTCTCAGAGGTCATAGGAAAAACTCATCAGGGAGAAGAAAGACACGTCTTGATGTAGACTTTAGCAGAGTTTAGTCAATGCAGATGAATGTCTGGGCTCAAATTTCCCTTCTACCACTTTCCAGCTGTGTGACCTGGGGCATGTGCCATAACCTCTCTGTGCTTCAGTTTCCTGTGTAAAGTGGAGATAACAATACTTCCATTGATGAGACATTTTACATTCTTTATTTTGTACCGAGTCTTTAAAATCTGGTGTGTGCCTTTTACATTTAGGGCACATCTCCTTCCGGACCAGCTGCATTTCATGTGTTCTATAGCCACATGTCTGGTCCTGGGCCACATCCCCCGCCCTCTGCCTATTATCACACACTCATGGCTTGACTCCCCTCACTTATCTCTTCAGTCCCACTCCTGTTGACACCCTCAGCGTGCTTGCTTGCTCCTGCATCCTTTTGGGGCACCTGCCTTGCTGATGCCCAAACTTGGCTAGGACCATCTGCATCCTACATGCCTGAGCCCAAGATGCCGGAGGAAGTCACACCTCACAAATTCACTGCTCTTCACTGGCCCTGCTTAGCACTCTTTCTACAGTCTCACGTCAGCTCCTCCTCCTCTTTCTTTCCCATGCAGCTATTACAGGCTTTGCTTTGAAAAGAGAGAGTCGTCAAGGTCTTTGAAAATCTGACATGAACGCAGTAGCTACTCAAGTCCTCAAATTCTTCCATTTTTAATGGTAAATGGCCATTGCTTGGGTGTCTCACTCGGGAAGACCTCAACCCTACTACCCTGTCACCTTCCCCCAGTATACCCCAAACTCCCTAAAATCCCACAGTACCTCCAAAGTGTTTCTAAGACCCTGGCTTCCAGTCCTGGGGCTGTTTGGCCAGTACCCAGATCATACTAGCTAGGTATTTTGAATATCTCCCTGCTAAAGACTGAATGTGTGCCTCCACCTGTAGTGGGATTTCAAGCTAGATTTGTTTTCTTTGATACTGGCCATTATCCCACCCCATGTCAGAACTTAGGGAATTATTTAGACACCATAGAAACTTGAGATAGTGGCATGCTTCCTCTTTGTCTTTACTTCGACAATGTAGAAAGTGTCTTCAAATGTCCTCCTCACTTCATTTAAGGTTATTTTTCTTTTATTAGTTACAAACAGGTCCTTACACTGATCCTAGCACTGGCTTTTAATCTAGACCCCTGTTCTTTCATCATCCTGCATTACTTATAGGGAACAGTTCCTGTTATTTTTCATAAATCCAACATGCTCATCATAAGCATCTGACTACATTACTATGTTTTCTGATTTAGCTGTGGCAGAGCCTTTATCCATTAAAGGACATACTATAATAACTAAGTAACTTCCCTTTTATTTATCCTTTTTATTACAGGTAGGGCCTCAGATTATCTGTTTTGAAATTTTGTGTGTAGGTAGTTACATTACCTATGAATTTCATTTCAGGATAATAAACTGGTGTTAGAAAATATTTGCAATAGAAAATGGGTATTGGGTTCAGTAGGTTGAGAGCCATTGGTTCTAAATGATTAAAACTGAATAGCTGATTTGAAAGTTTAAATATGGCTCTGAGTACCCAAGAAATTGTCTCATGGCACCAGAAATTTGAGAGCAATGCTCAGCAGAAATGAGTAGACATATTATTTCATTTGCTTTAGCAGCAGCCCTCACCTTATTGATTTTTATAGCATGTGTTAAATAAATTTCTCAGCCTGAAAGTAGAAACAGGTTCAGGGTCATCGGTAGCATTTTGCAAGCTCCATGGGAGATGATTACATCTTGTGCATGGATATCCCTGACCTTCAACTCAGCATTCGACCTCACCCAACTGAGATAAGGACAGGGAATTAAAAAAGCAGACTGAGGGCAGCACAGAGAAAAAAGCTCCTGGAATCTTTTTTGATCCCTTTGAGAGTACTAAGGGTGTGTTACGGTCATGTGCTTTATGGCTGGCAGGTGAGGGTGTGGCAGATAGGCTGCCAGACCCAGAAGCTGGAGGAGGCCCTGAAGGAACACAAGTCCTCCGTGTCCTGCATTAAGGTGAAGAAGAACAACGAGGAGTGTGTCACAGCCAGCACCGACGGGACTTGCATCATTTGGGACCTCGTGTAGGTACCTGTGATGGAGACGCTTGCCAAACCCAAGCATACCAGTGTTTTATTGATCTTGAGAGGAGACTCCAATGGAGGACAGAAATCTTTTTTTTTTTCTTTTTTAAAAGATGACCGGTAAGGGGATCTTAACCCTTGACTTGGTGTTGTCAGCACCACGCTCAGGCAGTGAGTGAACTGGCCATCCCTATATGGGATCCGAACCCGGGGCCTTGGTGTTATCAGCACCGCACTCTCCCGAGTGAGCCACGGGCCAGCCCGACCATAAGCATTTTTGCTGTGTGTTTTTAATTTAGAAACAGACCCTATTTCCCCCCCACACCCCATCACCTCCTACCACTCCTAAGATGTGTTGTCTCTGCGTAATTGTAAGAGAGGTTGGAATATGTAGGAAGACGGGAGAAGGGAGACATGTATGGCGAAAGAATATGAAATGTTCCTGACTGGAGAGAAGGGGATAAGAACTACAGGCACAGGCAGAACACTTTTTATTTAATACATTAAAAAACAAAAACCAAAGCAAGCCTCTGTCTTCTAACCTGTGTGTCTCCAATTTTGATGTGCTTACAAATCCCCTGGGGATCTTGTTAAAATGTATATTTTGATTCAATAGATTTAGGGTGGCACCTGAGATTCTGCATTTCTAACAAGCGCCCAAGTGACAGTGCTGGTCTAAGGACCACACTTGTAGAAGGTGTTACCTACACCTGACCTTCCCACTGGGAACATATATAACCAGAAGGGCATGTCTAAACTTATTTCCATGGATGGTTTGTGACTGCCTTAAATCCTTGAAGCCCTTGCGTTGTGTAGCAGAAATAGTTGTGCCCAAATCTGTTAAAATGTTCAGCTCAGATATCACATTTGAAAACTCCCATCGTGAAAAGAAACTGCAGAAGAAGGTGCATATTTTTTTTTATGCCAGAATGGTTTGTGACTGCCTTAAATCCTTGAAGCCCTTGCGTTGTGTAGCAGAAATAGTTGTGCCAAAATCTGTTAAAATGTTCAGCTCAGATATCACATTTGAAAACTCCCATCGTGAAAAGAAACTGCAGAAGAAGGTGCATATTTTTTTTTATGCCAGAAAAGCCTGGCCTGTGAGATGGCCACCCAGCATGTTGTCTGTGGAAAGAGAAGTGATATTTACACATTTTTTGGTACAGTATCTGAGGCAGGAGTTCTCAGCCTATTGTGCACAAAAGAATCAACTGGGATGCTAGTTTTAAATGTAGATCTGTGGGCCTCATCCCAGCCTACAGAATCCAAATCCCTAGAGGTGAGGACTAGTAATATCCATTTTTAAAAAGCCCTTCCGCACACCTTGCCAGCTGGCTTGTAGGGAGCTACACTTCCAAATGGTGACCTCAAGAATGAAGTACAGCATGTGGGAGGCAACAGGTTGGCTCTGAGTTCAGCCTCTTCTACTCCCTTCTTGCTGGAACTTAAGGCTTCTCATTGAGTTTTGTGCTCTATGCTTAGTAAAGAGTCTTACTCACTATCTTCTGATTGCTGCTGATGGATGCAAGGGGAGAATATAGAAATAGAGAGGGCAGAGTAACCAGGAGTCTATTTTGAATAAACACAAGTGCCACTGTGCTGATCAGTATAAGACGTTTGGGATAGATAAGCCAACCCAAATCCAAGCTTGTACCAAATCCAATTTGAACAGTAAATAAACTTTCTACAGAAGAGAAAGTTGTTTCACAGCTTTTGAATTTACTTCTCAGGCGTCTTAGGAGGAATCAGATGATCCTGGCCAATACGTTATTTCAGTGTGTGTGTTATCACCCTGAAGAGTTCCAGATCATCACCAGTGGAACAGACAGAAAGGTAAGTATTCCCATCAAGAGCCAAGATCTTTCTGGTGCAACAGAAAAGCAGTGAAGCATTGTGGCTGAGGGTGCAGGTTCCGGAGTGAAGCCACCGTAGTTCAAATGATGGGTCTGCTGCTGATCAGCTGTGTCACTTTGGAAAGGCCATGCAGCCTTTCCTTCCTGTCTGCAAAATGGGAATGATAGCACTGGCCTCACAGTGTTGCTGTGAGTATTAAAGTCAATGCTTGTGTATAATGCTTATAGCATAGGGCCTGGAACATAGTAGGTACTCAAATATCGGTTTTTATTGTTAGGAAATTTCTGAGGCTGGAGTGGAATTGTGCCCAAACCAGTTGTTACTTTGACTAAAATCAAATAGAAAGACAATAGAGCTTTTCATATCTCATCACTCTATTTCATCAGTATGTTAAAGATCTCTTGAGCTAGGGAGTACTCCCGAGATGATTGGTCCTTCTGTTTGGGGGGACATTTCCCCTAGGAGCAAGTGAGAGGCTTCAGGAAGGAGGCCCATGGGTAAGGATGGGAAGGTGTCACCCACCCTGCAGGCCATATCAGATCAGCCAGATCTCAGGCTAATTACTAGCACATCCATTTAATGAATTTGGAATCCCCTGAATTCAGACTTTGAGATGACTTTGAGATGACTGAAGAAGAGGTTGCATTTTTATCTTTTCACCAGGTAAAGAAAGAGTTGATGTATTAGAAGTATAAAAATATTGTGGGAAAAATACTAAAGGTGCTTCTCACCCCCCCCATTATCACTGACTTCAAATTGGAATCTGGGATTGGGGCTTTTTCCTGTTTAATTGTCCCAGGTAATTGGGAACTACTGCCTGAAGACAAATTGTCATAAAAACCAGAGACATGCTTCCTGATCCAAGCCAGGATTTGCCTGATGCCGAAGAATGTTGTGAGATGTTGTGGAGGTCTCTGAAAGTTGGCTTCGTTAGTTTCTTCATGTCTCATGGCCCAAACTGGCCTATACCATCCTTCAACTCTTGTGTTTGACTTGTAGTCCGAGTAGGCTTCCCTTTGGAACTGGGATGGAATGGATATTTGGGAGTTCATCATTATGTCACTCTAAATTTTCTGGCATATGGTGTATTAGTCAGGGTTCTCCAGAGACAGAATCAGTAGGATGTGTTATAAATATACAAGAAGGGATTTATTAGGGGAATTAGCTAACACAATTGTGAAGAAAAATCTCACGATAGGCCGTCTGCAAACTGGATGCTGGTAGCTTAGCTCAGTCCAAGCCCAAAGGCCTCAAAACCAGGGAAGCTGATGGTGTCTTTGATGTAAGTCCTGGAACCTGAAACCTGAAGAGTCTCAAGCTCTGATGTCCACGGACAGGAGAGAAGAGTATACCCCAGCTCCAGTGGATCAAGAGAGCTTCACCTTTTTTTTTTTTCTGTCTTTTGTTCTCTCCGGGCCCCCAGTGGATTGGATGGTTCCTGTCCACATTGAGGGCGGGTCTTTCCCACCCAGTCTACTGAGGCTCTCGTGCTAATCTCTGCTGGAAACACCCTCGTGGACACACCTAAAAAGATAGCTTTACCAGGTTTCTTGGCATTCCTTAATCTAATCAAGTTGACACCTAGAATTAACCTTTACATATGGTTCATAGCATTTTAAAATAAACATATTTGTCATATTCTAGGTTTAGTTCATGAGTATATTTTCCTTCTATTAAAATTTTCACCAGAATATTCAAATCATAAATCTGCAAAACTATTCTAAGTGCTGGGGACATGACAGTGACCCTGCTCTCAGGGAGCTTACTTGCCTTGCTTATTTATTTTGGGTAGGAGAATTTTCACCAGAATATTCAAATCATAAATCTGCAAAACTATTCTAAGTGCTGGGGACATGATAGTGACCCTGCTCTCAGGGAGCTTACTTGCCTTGCTTATTTATTTTGGGTAGGAGGGGATGGAATTGGATAATATACATGTAATAAGCAATGAGAAATAAGTGAACAAGATATGAGACGGTGAAAGGACTGAAAAGGATACCAGATGGGTGGAGGGAAGCTCCTTTAGCTAGTGTGGTTGGCAAAGGTCTCCTTATGGAGATGACATCCGAGCTGAGGCCTCAGGGACAGAAGGACCTAGATCTCACGGAGGGCATCCCTAGCAGGGACACTTGGGAAAGACCGAGCCCCCAGTGGAGCCCAGGAGGGCATCACTTTGACTTCTATGGCTGGGAAGGCAGGCAGTCAAGTCTCAACTACTTCAGGAAACATGGACTCCGGCATGCTTTGATACATCTTTATGCTTTTACTATGAAAACAGAATGTTTTGTTATCATGATCAAGCATCGATGGAAATAATGAAGCAAAAGAAAAATGTTAAAAAGTAGCATTCACAGTTTTAATTTAGATTCAGAGGAATAGAAATATGGATTCTTGGCAGAGCGACTAGAACACAGCAAATTTCCTTCAACATGAAACAAAGAAAAATGGGTAAAAGGGTGCCCAAGTTCAGACTCTTGGTTCCAGGTCAAGCTCTCTTTATTTAGAAAGAAATTTTGTTTTTGAATAGATTGTGCATTCACAAGGTTCAAAGTACAAAAGCAATATATTCAGGGAAAAATCTCCCGCCCATCAGCACCCCAGGGGGGGACCAGGGCTGTCCCTTTGTCTTTAAACCCCGCTCTGTACAGTATGTTATTGCTTTGGGGCAGAAGGGAAAGTTGGGAATATGGGAGGAAGAGGGAGTGTCCAGCGCAGCGGGAAGTTGACTATGCAAGGCCTAGTTTCCAGAACCCTCGGGAGTGCTCACTCCCCACTGGAAGGAAGGAAAAGCTTCCCTCCCAGCAGGCTCTCAGCTTCGCTGTCCTGTGACTGCAGAGGCAGAAACTGGGTGCAGTAGCTGTTCTTTCTTTTACAACTTGTTTTAGACTCAATCTGCTTAGTCTCATCAAAAGCCCTTTCTGTCACAATCCAGGTTTATCAGCATATCAATATCTTTAAATAGAATGCAAATTTAAAAACCAATACTAAAAATATTAAAATGGTTTCTCCACCGCCTGCTGTAGCCTATTTATAATGTCAGCCGATGTCATCCCATAGTATATTTTTGCTACCTTCTATATAGAGTAGAACCATCTTTTGTTAGCATATGTGTGGATGATTCCACCAAGCCGAATCCTGCCTAATGCTTCTTTCCTGAATTCCAGGTTGCTTACTGGGAGGTATTTGATGGGTCAGTAATCAGAGAGTTGGAAGGTTCCTTGTCTGGATCAATAAATGGTATGGATATCACACAGGAAGGAGTGCACTTTGTCACAGGTGAGTCCTGGGATAAGAAAAGGAAGCAAAGCCTGGCTTATTTAGATGAAAACATGGAAATCCCAAGGGGGAGGCCACCGGAAGAGACTGCAAAAGGGTCTCAAGGGCAATTTGGCTAGATTTAGACCTGAACATTGCAGCCAATGTGTCCAGAAAAGAAAAATCCAGAAGCGAACATTTCCACGAGAGGAAACATTTGCACAGGAGCCTTAGGGGAACAAATCAAAGCTAAAACCTGACATTGCTAGGCATGCTTTTTGTTGATGAGTATTGATGATAGAATGGCCTTTAAATGGCCTGGGCCATCCAGCATGTCTTCCTCTCTATTTGCTAGTGAAGTCTTAAAAGCCAGTCTTTTTATCCCCCTTTATTGTTGAATGATGTAATGCCCTCCTCCCCCTACACCTAAAAATAAATGAATTAACCAGTATTTCAAGGGGGCATTCGCTGTGCAACATGCCGATTAGAACAACATCAACATCATTTCCCATCGGACTCTGATTCTTCAGAACATTCACAAATAAATGCTCTAAATGAATTAACATTTCACAAATACATTGACTTAAAGCAAGATGTACTAGACACAGTGCAATCCCAATCATAGACACAGATGTACATGTCTATGTGTATATATACATCTTACTGAAAACAGCTTAGAAGGAACTAAACCAAGATGTTATTAGTGGTTATTCTGGGTGGTAGGATGAATGGTGATTTCACCTTCTTTTACCCCCCCCCCCCATTTATTACAAAATATATAGATTTTTATAATCAAGTAAAAACCTTATTATAAAGACAGAATTTTCTCCCTTTAAGTTGGCACGTGGGGAATGTATTGAAAATGATCCAGTTATTTGAAATCAGGGCTGTGTGTCTCTATCCTATTACAGCAACTGTTTATATTTTTGTGTTTTGTGTTTTCAGGTGGAAATGACCATCTGGTCAAAGTTTGGGATTATAATGAGGGTGAAGTGACTCACGTTGGGGTGGGACACAGTGGTAACATCATGCGCATCCGGATAAGTCCAGGAAATCAATATATTGTTAGCGTAAGTGCCGACGGAGCCATTTTGCGATGGAAGTACCCATATGCCTCCTGAAACACCCGGGACCTCCCCAGCCAGGACATCACATGCAGTCCTGTTGAACACTCAGTTGAGATAACTCCAACTCTAGTCTTGATTTCTTGCATCTGTTTTTGTTTAGTTAAAATATTTGATCCCTAAATTTCTCCTTTCCCTTATAGAATACATTTTATATTCTTAAATTGTATATAAAACTGAAACACGTTCAAGAATTTTTTTTCCAGACTGTAATTGTAATTAAAAGTTTTAAAAATTATGAACAAATTCCAAGTTGTTGTAATCTCTTTTCTGCAACTCTGCAAAACCCACAAATCTTACTCATGACCTGTCCACAGACAGCATTGTTACTGTCCTCCTCTAAAAATAAGGCAAAGTGAATTCACCTTCTTAATCATCATTTCATTGGTCAAGCTGCCTGGGGCAAGACTTGGGTTTGAATCCCGACCTTGGGCAGGCTTTTAAAAACTCTCTGGGCCTCAGTTTTCCCTTTTATCAAGCGAGAATAAATATCTGCTCAAAAGGTTATTATGAGAATTAAGCGAAATAATATGTTAAAGCATTGGCTGAATTCCTGACCCAGAGTAGAGTGAAACACGAATGCTTTTTCAAAGAAAATGTGTGTTGGGGATCTTAGGGCGATTATCAAAGATGAAATTTCAGAACTGTTTTATTGGAGTTGACCATAAAATCTTTCTCCTGTGCTTCCCACCAGAAAGGCGATGAAATGGACCTTGTGTTTTAATCATCCAACAGGGGATCTTTTTCCAAAGAGGGTAAATGATCGCATTTTCCAGAAACACTTGGAGTCTGCAGTTCACAGTTGTCTTATATGTCCTATGCATGTCCTTTATTCTTTAACTAATGCAGCTTTTTTGCATCAGGTAACGGCTGCTACCCTATTTGAAAGATCAATCAGGCTATTTAATGTGACAATGACTTATTTCTTAAATAACAAGTAACATTTCCGAGCTTTGAGGTAATAGTGCATCCTGTATGCTGCCGTTCTATTTTTGAGCTTGAAATGGATACATTCATTTTGCAAGATCTTGCCTGATTAATTATAAACCTGACAGTTATGGAATAACGTGAGCTGAGGCCCCCGGGGTTACCCAGGGAATCAAGGGCGGGGCAAGGCCGAACTATTTCTGATTGGGCAACAATTCAGCAAGGATTTGGCGTGAAGGAGTGAAGAGATGACCGCATAGGGGGCGCGCCTGAGAGCCCCGAAACTTCCTGGTAAGCAAATGCTGGGGTTGGAAAGGGCCCGAGTCGGGCAGTCCGCAGGCCCGGGTCGGGTTCCGGTTCCTCTGCGCACCGGGAGGCTGCCTCCCCACGTTGCCTTAACCTCTCTGCGCCCACTTCTCCACCAGTTAAACCGAGGATGATCAAGTGTCGCACGTTTTTTAAAAAAATGACTCTAGTCTGTCGTTCACAAAAGCAAACCACACCACCCCGGAGAGCCACACGCGGCTCCCAGTTGAGGTCCCGGGACGGCGGGTGCAGGCACAGGTTCTGCCTCCCCAGGGGGCTGGCGAGCTGGAAGCAGGCGGCGCCACCGGGGCACAGCGGGGCTTCGGACCCTGGCCCTTCACAGCTGCCAGTGCGCGCCTCTCTCTGCGCCCGGGGCTACCCTTTGGGGACCCTTTCCTTTCCCTTCTCTCCGTTATCCAGCTGGACGGAGTTGCAAGAAGCAACTGGGGCTTTGCAATTTGCTAGGCGCTTTCCCATTTGTCGTTCCCCTGTTATATCCACAGCTTGAAGGCTGGGCGGGGAGCAGGAGCAGAGGTTAGATCCAGGTCTGCTGGTTTAGAAAAGGTAAGGAAGGGTAGGGACCTCGGCCACGACGACTCCCAGTGCTGTTACTGCCGGTCTGTGCCGCGGGGCGGAACGAGGCGGGGGTCGAGGTGGCCGGGGACTGCCCCGGGGCCGGCTGTGCGGCCGGATTCCCGCGCGGGGCGGGGCGGCCCCGCCCCTGGCCCCGCCTCCCCCCCGTCCCCCCCCCCCCCGCCCCCC